TTTTTGAGATTTCCACCACACTTCTAGAAGAAAAAAAGTAGGTGCTGCTCAGCTAGCATATTCAGCCTTAAGTAACACCGTTACCTGAAGGATAACACTATCCTTCAACAACTCTCTCACCAGATCAGTACCAAGACTGGCTCTTTGACACAGACACTCATATGCTTCATTAGCATGATTTGGGTTTTGAGTCACCGCATTCTGAATTATCCTCTTATTTTTCTTCTTTTTCTTTTGCCCAATGAATATAGCTGAGGCAAATACCTCCATCCTGAACAGAATTAAAATCCAGGCTGCATAATTTATTCTTTTTACAGCTAATGGGAAAGTTGGCCTGGATTAATGCTCTCACCATCTCCAGTAAGTTTAAGATATAAAACACATACCATTTACATATGCACATGGAGAAACCACTCTACTGAATTTATATTCACTAATTAAATTACTGTAATTACCCACTTTGTTTCAGAAATATAATAAGACAAGGAAAGAGTCTTTAGACATGAAAGCCTTTGTAGTTTACCCTTTTTGTCAGAAGACAAAATGAGCCACATATTTGCTTTTTTTTTTTTTAATCCAAATGCTGATACAGTTTCTTCTTCTTGAGGTCCCAGACTGACAACTAATGAAACTCTCGTGTAAAACTGAAGAAGTAGCTCTCACTTCAAATTATCTGTCTTTTAGGAGTATTTATTCTGGCTAGGATCAGATGCTGGCAGAGGAGAATGCATGATAATGCAAATCAGTTAAACATGAGCTAATGGGCTTCCAATAAAACCCATGACTCTGAGTAGTCTACTTATTCCAAATGTTTTCTACGACACCATACAGTCCTGAAAAACGATGGTTTCTATTCATAACCCAACTTCTAATTATACGTTTCACCTACATCTAACATCACAAAAAAAGCCCTTCTGGCAGCAATCACTACAACTGCAAATCAATCAAAACTGCTACCATATAAAAAAGTCAAATCAACACAAGTCTTATGCAATTACAGAAGCATAAGAAAAAACAGTAACAGATCAGACCAGAAGTTCATCCAGCCAGTATCCTATCTCAAACCACATTGACAAAATCAGTCTTGTCTTGAAGAACACACAAGCTAAGGACTCCACCTTACAACCAAGCTTACCACTGACACCTTGACCACAGTGGTGCCACTGGCTTTGGATGCCACACACATTAGTTCACCTAAATCAACTGATGCAACGCCTCTTTTCTTTCACTGAGTCTTCTCCATATAATCATATCCAGACATTCTTCTTGAAGTAAAACTGTATTTATACCAGACATAAAATTATTTCCCTTACCACTCAGGGCTGAGAACTGCCTTGTAGGAAGTTTAAATTTGTATAAAATCATCTTACCACTTATTGTTTAAAGAGATCACAAATCACCATTATGACAAGTCAGCCTACCATTTCATGAAATTGCAGGTTGTCATAATTTTATTTTAGGAAACAGAACTGAATAAAATACTTTGCAGAGTAAATTACAGTAACTGCACTACGAGTTGCTAAACAACAGAGGCAAAGTAATGTGAAAGATCTACCTGGTGAATGTTACTTTAAAGTCACCTTTACCACAGCACAGTTAGCTGCTTCAGGGGTGTTTCCCTGTATCCACTTTCTTTACATTAAGACTAGAAACACTGATCAAATGTCTTTTTTTTTTCTGCAAGTGTGCTGCAAAAACAATGCAGTTGTTTCCAAAGCCAGAAATACTTCTGTGAACTGTAGCTAAAAGCTTGCTTGTGGAGCAGCTGCTCAGATCTGTGCCTTTGTGGCGATGACGTGTGCTCTTGGATCTCTTATGGAACTCTGGGAGAGCTCAAAATCTTCTGCCTCAATTTACTGCCAGTTCTACTAATCTGTCCTCAACTAACTCTGTAATGAGATTAAAATAATCACTCAATTATCCTTGTCTGCCTCTTCACATACACTCACAAATCACTCTTCTGCTTTATTACTTTCTCTCACATCACTGTTGTCTGCCCATATCATCTGATGAAAATTGCCTGAAGGACTGTTTGCTTCTTTTGACTTTGAATGCAATAGGGTGTAGATATTGCATCATACAAACAATACTACCTTAAAATTGTAAAGACTAAGAACCTGAGAGTAGAAAGTTAAAAATACAGATGTCTCTGCATCTGCTTCGTAAAGGGACATGAAATACAAGCAGCCAAAGACTAAAAAGCACATATCCATGGGTGCCAGAGAAGGCAGAACAGAATGCTAGTGGCCTCTTCTTCCTCTCCTGATAAACCTGTACCCATCTCCTGATAAACCTCCCTCCAAAGGCATCAGAAAACCAAGTGTTTTAGAAGGGTCCCATAAATCACCTGGAGTAGACACAGAAACTCCAGGGTACTGCACCTTCCAGCACAACAGCAGCTGACATGCTGCAAATGTAATTTAGTTCTGACAAACAACAACTTTATTTACTACGGCCTGTGGGGTTTGGTTATTCTGTCTATGGCTAAATAGCTTCTTGCTCACATCTACAGCTTGTATAGCCACTGGAGCAGTACAAGTATTCCCACAGAAGTCTACGAATGGCATATTAAACCTTTTCCCTCACAGACACAAAGGTTTCCCAGTTCTACCAGCAAAACAACTTCTCTCAGACTTGTAAACCAACTTCCATTTTTGCCTTATAGTTCATGCTGGTTCCCACCTAACTATGCTCCTTGCGTCCCTCCTGCTGCTCTTTTTCTCAAGAGGATCAAATCAACAAAATAAAAAGTTCAGTGCTTTTTGCGTTAACATACAGGCTCGAGAGCCTAATACAGACTGACTAACATCTCCCCTACAAGAGAAGCAAAGCCAGGAGCACACTCAAAGTGCATATTTTGATAATAAGCTGATAGGTGGCTGAGGGAATAGATTCTATGAGGTGCAACATCTCACTATTCCCTAGTTAGGAATAAAGGAGCTCTAGAGGCCATTCTCCTCTGCCTTTAAAGCATAAAGATTGGTCATGGACCTGCTTTACAATATAAATATGCAGCACATATTTGTTAGCATATTAAGATGCACTCCCCCTCCTGACTGTTCCATTGGCCACGCTTCGTTCTGGACTGGGGATTGTCTCAGGGCATCTGACCTGGACTTCTCGCAGATGACGCTAACCTGGAACACGCAGGCCAAGGAGACACCTCACACAGCTAGGATTGGCCCTTCAGTCCAGGAGATCAGACTAAGGCACCTCCAAAATGCAGTCCTCAGCACAGTTTCCCCCTACAGATCTGCTTCTGTTGTGCTGCAGCACCCACTAAAGCAGGAACAGCCACAAGTATCGCAGTCAAATTTTCAACTTTCCCTCAGCCCCCACCATGCTGGGCTTTGTGGTGGTAGCTAGAAAGGTGCTGATACAAAGCATCAGTGTTTTGGCTACTGCTCAGCAGTGCTCCACTGCATCAAAGGTGTCTCTCCAACATTCCTCACTCACCAGTAGTCTGGGAGTGAGCAGGATCTTGGGAGGGGACAGAGCCAGGACAGCTGACCCAAGTGACCAAAGGGATATTCCATACCATATGGCATTTGCTCAGCAATAAAATGGAAGAGCGAGGAAGAGGAGGTTGGGACGTTTGCTATTACAACGTTTGTTGTCTGGAGCAACCACTACATGTACTGAAGCCCCTACTTCCTGGGAAGTGGCTGGACATTGCCTGCTGATGGGAAGTAGAGAAAAAATGTTTTATTTTCTCTTGTTTCTGCACATGGCCCTTGCTTTTGCTGTATAAACTGCCTTTATCCTGAACCAAAAGATTTTTTCCATCTTATTTTCTCCCCCTGTCCCGCTGAGGAGCAGAGACAAGAACAGGTTGGTGGGCACCTGGTGTCCAGCCAAGGTCAACCTACCATACACACACCTTAAACAAATGGATGTATACCTGAGCAAAGTGTAAATTGACCACAAAATATGAATCCTTCCTTTGGACAAAACTTGACTGCAGTACAGATGCTGTTCCAACTTATACGCCACTGAAGAGAAATACAAGATGACAAAGTCTGCTAAAGAAGAAATGGCATAAAATTTTGTTTTACCACCTTTCATTTCAATATATTAATTAAAATTACTTTTCCATCTTCATAAAGGTGTTCCCTATTCAGGTTGTGATTTAGTACATGAACATGTTTGGTGTTATTTATACAGACATTTTCACAATGCTTATTTATTACCATTGCAGTCAGCCTATTTACCAAAGCACAAGAATGGCACTGTTTTTGTCTTAGGCAAACAGCAAGGGCAAACCCATGCAGTAAGCAAGTACATACAGATTTCAAGTAAATACAGTCTTGGCTACGAAGAAAAATAGCCAAGGAAAGCAGCACGAAACCAGGTGGCTTTTCTATGAACAGAAAACAACATGTCCATGGAACTGCCCTGCTTTCATTTCCAGAGGGCAGTCACCTGATACATCCAGTTATAACTGCTAGGTAACTGCTTTCTGTCTTGGTATCCTCCACCACTAAAACGGCTAGATTCCCACCTAAAATAAAGGCAGATATTAACTGTATTTCTTTTTAGTTGTCTTTCCAAGGTACCACATTGTCAAATACCTCACAGAGAAAGGAGTATGGACCAAAGGATAGAAGGCATCACCCAGCAAGACCAACTCATACGCAAACAGACAGCCTAATGCTTGTGTCTGAATGTGCCTAGCCTCATATATTTCTGCACAGCTGGAAGCAATGCTCAGAGATTTTAGGAAAGGTGATGTTTTACTTAAACTGTACTTTTTTTTTTTTTCATCTAACCCTCTCTTATATGGCAGGATCATTTAAAGGAGGCTCAGCAAGGTAAAAAATCCCAAATTCTCCAATTTTCTTGAAGGACTGTATAACTTGTTATCACTTTAAATCAATTTTCTGATACAAAACAAACTGGTTTTTTTCACTGGTTTGGTATCCACAAGGAAAACAAACTAGTGATAAGGTTCAAGGTCATGGAAATTCACTGCAGCACATACACATAATCAAAGGTCTCACCTGCTGGTTTCCCAGTCTTGATCATCCTTATCTTTTTCTTCTTTGGCATCAGAATTGTGTGGGTGTTTCTGCACGATTCGCATCCCTCCAGCTTTCACTGAAATGAAAATTAGAGACACACAAAAAACCTCAGTCAAATCAGCCTAAGTGAAGAACATTTTAAGGATGACCCTCCTCCCCCACCCCCCCTAACATTTTGCAGAGTAGTTTAGTAATGGTAGCTTGAATAAGGGGCCCAAAGTATTTCAGAGTGGCAAGCCTAAGGAGCAGCTTCTTCAGGACCACATCTGCTGTTCTCTTTCACATCATGCCATTTCACTTATCCTAAGAAGATGCAGCTCATTTTACCACCTGCTTCCAGTACCATTTTGGAAAACTCAGCTCTGTTTAAACTCTCCCCTCACCTGTACTAACTTGCAGCAGTCAGAGGAAGAAATGGAGGCAACAGCTTGCGTAGCACCGTGTAAAAGGCCACAAACATGAAAGTTAACTACTCCCATAAAACAAGAAGGTCTTAAGAAACTTGTTTGCAATTTCAAGTTAAAAAGTACAGCTATAATAATAGTATTTATACAAAAACAGTACTTCATGAACAGTATAATAAAAAGCAAAATTAAGGACAGTTAACTTGAATTTAGAACAGAGCTTTTTGTTTTGCAAACCATGTGCATTTACTGCATTTCAAATCCTTGCCATGATTTAGTTTTAGAAATGGAGCAAACATGAAAGCGTCCCATTGAAACACAAAACAAGAAGTGAAAGCAAATCCACTTAGGTTCATCATTCATCCCCTTCAAAGTGAAATATAAAATAGGAACCAAGCTGGGCCTAACACGGCAGCTACTAAGCAAAGCAACAGCCAGGCTGCTCTCGATCTGCTTGCTGTTTTAATATTATACTTCTGTTTTTTTTTTTCTTCAGCCATTGCTATACACGCTTCAAGAACGGCACAGGATAAAGCAATGCGGCTCATGAGCAAATTGGGTGGGTTACATTCCGACCGGCAACCGCGTCAGAAAACCGCTATAGCGAGCAGAAGTCAATGCAGGCGCGCAGAGATGCCTTGGCTTGGGCTTCACGCGGCTGGGACGTGTACGTCTGTGGACAGCCTGGGAGCCGGGGCGAGCAGCAGGCCAGGGCAGCCCTCGGGAGGAGCCGAAGCAGCTTGCCAGCGTGGCCAGGGCAGGCTGCACCTCGCACAGCCCTCCCACAGAGGCACCTCGCAGCAGTTCAGCCCTAAGCCCTGAAGCCTAGGGAACAGGTTTAGTTCTCAGTTCTTAACCAGGTGGGCAATGGAACGGGTGCTCCTGTGCATAAATGTTACAGAGTAGGTGAAGGTAAAGAGGTGACCTGCCCCAGGAGAAAGTGACAGCTCTGTGGCCCTGGGATTTTTTTAAACAGATTTTAAGCTTTGCATGATATTCCAAAGATAAACTTCCGATTCAATAAAGGGCATTAAAGACAGGCACACAAGAAGTATCTTCTTTTGAACCTATCAAAACTGTGCAAGTTTTAAGCTTAAGTTAGCTTAAGAAGACAAATACCCTTGCAACTTAATTCACCTTCCTTTTAAAAGGGTTTCAACCAAACTACACCACCTCAGACAGAGAGAAGAAATTATTACATCCATTAAGCTAAAGAAAAACCCATCAATTTGCAAGATTTTCTAGGGACTTAGGAGGACTCATCTATTTCTTACTTGCTTAGCATTTACTACCTAATTTGACAGATGCTTACTACAGTGATTTTGTCACTTTAAAGTCATTCTTAAAAGAATCTCAGATTTCCTATATTTAAATCTGCTCTGCACAGGATTTACTAACTGATAAACCATCTTCCAGAACACTTCGAGAATTCAGGGTCCAGAAGAGGATGGTGTCCATCACTGAGTGCTGGGATTGGGGAGAAAGCAGTTTCTACACCAAAGAAGGAGCTCACGCTGCAGCTGCTCGGGAGAGGTCAGGTGGAACCTGTGGTAAGGAAGGAGGGTACCGGGAACGGCTTCCCTCTGGTGGCGATGGCCGGCAGGCCACCGTCCCCCAAAGTGTGAAATAAAGCGGGGATCATCTGCCCGCATGCTCCAAGAAGAGCAACAGCACAAGTCTGTTTGCCTGGCTGCTGGAGAGGAGCCAAATTCTGGATTTTAATTATTATCTGTCATGCTTTCCCCCTGCCAAGAGCCAGACAGGACTGTCTTGTTTGTCCTATGAATACCAGTCTGTGGTTCCTCTTCAGAGTATGTGACGACTCCTTTGGAAATGTATTAAAAAACCATGTTAATCAATTATTGCTCAAGATGACCTGGAGTCAGGAAACTATTCCAGTCTGTTTAACCTTTTTCATTCCCACTGCCACGCTTCTTTCAGACTGCTCCCAGTTTCTGAGACTGAATTCTGAAATAAACCCCACCAAGTCACTGCAAGCACCAAGGACCTAGTGAAGCACTGAAGCTCATGATGGCCCCAGCCCTGGCACACTCAGGTCCTTCCTGTGGAAACCCAAATCACCCACTGGTCACAGCAACCAGACAGGAACTCTTAGAAATCCAGAATATAACCAAGAGCTTTCACAGCTTCCCATTTTCCTTGAGTATAGTATTAAATAGTAGCATGAAAAATTGTTTCTTATGTATTGTGTAATAACAGATTCCATCACATCAATAAGATGCATGAAAATCCAGGACTGAGGGAAATGCAAAACTTGCCATTCTGCAAGTGTAAGGGAGTATACATTAGAGTCTGACAAACCAAGAACAGAAGTTAAAGTCATTATATACCTTGGTTTCACAGAAATCTTGGCTCAGAGATGGATTTTTTTTATGTAGGAGAAAGCATATAACTCTTTTCATGAACCTATTGTGAAGCTTCATAAATAAACTATTAACACAATTATCTTGCCTAATTCCTCCACAGTACCCACTAGAAGAAATGAACAGCTAAAAGCATAATGACACAGACCTCTTTAGAGGGACTGCAGGCTGTACAAACCTACTCAGCAACATATTATAGACAGATTGGTCTCACTGACAAATATTTAATAAAGCTTACATTGGGGCCCTCTTAAGTTTCAGTTCAAAGTTGCTTTGTGCACTGTTACCAGCCTCAGGTCTTGAGGTTTCTTTCCTTCTCATTATCCTCTGTCTTTTCAAGTGCTTTTCTTGCCTTTCCCCCCCGCCCCGCCCCGTGAAAGATCAATGCAGAGAGCAAGCTAACACTGCACGCAGTCAGTCAGCAAGGGCTAATGCTCCATGTGAAAAGCAACAGATTTGTCAATTCTGCTTCAATTTGATGATCCACATCCTTCCTAACTTTTACACATCTCATTCATACTCAGTAGGGTAAGACACATCCATAATCACAGCTAGGGCTCTTTATACAACCACATGCAGCAAAACCAGAGCTTTTAAGCCATCTGGAAAAAAAATTTCCCCAGTTCACATCTTTGCCTTACTAGGAACTTGTCTTTTTGCATTATGAACACCATTCTATATCTACTTATGCAGAAATGGGGGTGATTTTTTTGTAAGAATTTTTTACTTTCATTCTATTAGAACTTGTCTGCAAACTCCCCTATTGCATTGTGTTATTATTCCAGGATCTAAACCAGACTGAGATAGAGGATTAAAACCTAGCTTCAGCCTGTAAATATAAACTGTCGCTTGTAAGCACATTTATTGTGGTTTTTCCAAGTGATAAAAGACCAGAGGACCACATTCCTCTGCTCACCAGCTCAGAAACATCTTCTTCCAGAAATGACCTTAAGATTCTTTAAAGCATTATTTTTTTTTTCTAGCCTCAAAGACGGATTTGGTGATGGCCTGCCTTCCTGACTTGGTGTGTACTGACATCCCCTGGGGATGCTAAATGATCTGAAAGGGCACATAGCTGAAAAAGCTCTTCAGTTCACATGTGGATGTTTTACAAAGATAAAAAATAATAATACATAAATACTCTGACAGCAAGGGAAACCTGTTCTGTCCTCCAGTTGTGCTTTTGCACTGTGCATTGCTAGTTTCTTCTGTGGCCTACAGAGATCCACTTCACGTCTTTAAAAATAATTCTACCTACTTCAAAAGACAGGTTTTGAAACAAAACTGTCAAACATGCAACAACGTCAGAAAATACAGCTACAAGGCATCTAAATTAAAATATCCACCATTTATCCTTTGTTCCCTTTCCATCCATGGTTTAGCTGTGTCTTCCCACGACACCAACATTAAGTCTTAACCATCCCTTTACACTGAAGCTGACATTTACCCGACCTCAAGGCAAGCCAGATGGAGGAGCTACAGCAGCAGAAGCTGTTGGCATTGGGAAATGAGCTTTGGTTTGGTTCCCCAAACCAGCTCACCAGAAGGTCAGGCAAGAACTACTGCCATGACAAGACAGGCTGCAGAATTGGGACAACTTTGCTCAGCCAAGACACTGGCTTTACTGCTAAAATGTGTTTGCCATGCAGAGAAAAGCTATTTTTTCTCACTTTTGTTACCTACTTAAAGGCATTTCAGATCCTCATTAAAAAAAAGAGCAGAATTCAATTAGGGTTCAAAAATTGTTCTCAAATTTGGCTTTAAATCTCATAAAACTATTTGAATATTAAACTACCCACCCTGTGGATTATGAATTATGAATTTCAGCATTTTTTGACTGAAACACTTGAAAACATAAAACCCAACCCAATTATTCTACCAGGAAACACTAGAAGACACATGAAAAGTTGCTGGTGCAGGAATCAACATTCCATTTTTTTGGAAAACTGTGGTAAATTACATGAAGGAACAAAACACTGTGGGTACTGCGAGTAAGTGAACCCCACCTGTCTTACAGGGAGGAGCTGCTGTCTGTGGATGGTGGCAGACCAGTGCCCCACTGAGGGTGCAACAAAGCTCCTACCCCCACCACCGCAGGAGCGGGTGGAAGGTGCTGGAGATACTTCTCCGGGCGGCCAGCCACCAGCTTCTCGTCTCCTACGCTGCCAGGCTGCGGAAGGAAGGCCAGGGGAAGGCGGCTAACTACGGCACTCGCACCGCAGGGCCCGCGGGCACGACGGGCGCACCGGGGCC